GGTGGTCTGTGAATATTCCAGAACGGTCAACTCGCGAATTGAAACGCGGGAAGTTTGTTACCCCGAAAAAGAAGAACGCTTAACGGGATGATTAATAACGATCCACTCGTGGCATCGCTGTCCACGGATCACTATTTATTTCGGGCGTAATTGAAATCCTAAGCATTCACGGAATTACAAACTCCTCTAGGCGTTGGTCCAGTGTGTTTGTCAGAAGGATTTATCACGTTTACGATCGGTCATTTTATACAAATAGATTTGTTACTAAGTTTATTTTTGAGATAGGAATTCAGTATATAACAGAACAAACACTTATTTTTATAGACAATTGGATTGTATGTTTCGAAAATTTATTGTTAAAAATTATTAATAAAATTTGACCACCTACACGAATTTTTTTCTCGAAAGTGCGTAGGATTTCGGGGGTATGCGTATTCACCAAAAATGATTGTAATTGACCCCTGCAACCAAAACTATTTTTTTTTAGAACGATTTGAAATTTAAATGTTAATAACTTTTTAACGAAGCCTCAATCAACAAATTGGTATTCTTGATTTTCGTCTTATTTTGCCCTCCAGAATATCCCATTCGAATTTTTCCCAGAGGTGGCCAGACACCCTGTATATCATCCCTTATAACGTGAACTCGATGAATCTCTGAATTCAATCCTCCCATAAACAAAGCGTCGCGTAGAAAAATTTTATTTCGCATCATCGATCGATCAGGTTCCGTGCAGCGCTGTGTAATGTTCGTTTACGCTCTCATCAACTATTGTACAGCTTTATTAAATCGCGTTCGAATTACCCGAGAACGGAATGGCGCGTGACTGCGACGTCAGTTTCCGCGAAATTAAAATTCTTTCGTTGAAAAGTCGTAAAAGTGTACGCTAATTTCCGGAACGATCTCGCGCGGTGTCGCGAGATAACGATCGCGATAACCGATTATGGGTCTGAATTATGAAGGAAGTTTTAAACTGCCCCGCCTTCATTGGCAAACGCAATTAATTAACGAGAAACCGCCCGCCTATGAATTATTTGCCCCTCCGCTCATCCTCCCTCTGTCCCGTGGCTCGCGTTCATAATGCATCCGTGAAAGAGATGGCTGACGATTCCGAGCATCGAAACCGTGGAACCCCGCGTGCCACGAAAGATAAATGCCCCTTTGAAATACGGGAGCAAAAATCGTTTCGTCGGACGCGACCCGTCTTTTCCCGAATGCAGGACCCGGGCGTTGAAAAACATAACAAATTGTCCGCGTCGAAAGCGACGATCTCGTAAAAGAACACTTCGCTCTGACGCTGGCTACCGGGCACGGCTGACAGATCGTTATGACGTTGCATTCAATTACCCTATATTCCAGGGAAACGCAGCGTTCCATTACGCGGGCGTAAAGCAACTGCATTACTAACTTTGAACTCGCTTTATTGCTCCCCCGCTGGAGCTAATTCGTTTCCCTCGGCGCTATCAAAGGAAAAATTCTAACGAGTTCAATAAATAGAATTTAATGTCGTTAAATAACGGCAGCGGGTCTGGTACCGTTCGTTTCGAGAGCACGTTGTATCGAAGGAAAACAGAGTATTCGCCTAAGTAGCGTTACATCGTTCCATTCCAATCTCAAAGAAGTAACTTTGACAGCGCGAGAGGGTGGAACTAGTTTAAAGAGGAATTTCCTTTAGAAAGACGATTGATTGGGTAATTATTGGAACTTTCTTTGAAGAATACTATGCGAGCTTTTGTAGACACATTTGTTCACATTCGCAAATTGAATTTTTTACATAAGACGTAATTCACAATGACCTTGAGCGGTCAAGTGAGCCAACTGTAAAGCTGTCCGCGAAACGCGACAATTTTCTATTTGGTCGGCCACATCGACGACGCTATTGCTTCACGTTGTCGTCGGCGTTTTCCGTCTACTCAAAAGCAAAAGCTATTAATATCGAGATTTTTCTTGGTGGAGGCGGCCAGAACTCATTACACGTTCTGCAAGAGTTCCGACAGTTTTCGAGGCGAAGTTGGATTAGACGTTGGCAGCTCGTTAGCCGGTCTTATCGACCGTCCCTTCGTACTTGTACCATTGTACGGGGCCGTATTAATTAAAAAATGAAAATGTACGGGCTGTCCGACGCACGAGCCGCGTAATCTCATTTTCGCGTACTTTGTTCTCCACCCTATCCCAGAAGAACCATCGGTTTCCGATTTTCTCCATAATATCGGGCTATCGACTATTCGAACGAGCTTCCGGCTCTGTCTTAAAAATGGAACTCTTTCCGGTACATTACCATTCGGACCTTGATTGCGTGAATGGCGAGAATTAATATCCGAATCGGTATCGAGCATAATATGATTAATTCCTCGTTGCTTAATATATTTTTCATTCAATGAATATTCTGATAAATCACTGTCCTTACGAACTTATAATTTCGTGAACTATCTGTGATAAAAATTGCTTACACTGGCTATTTTTGGTATTTTCATTGTCAACGTATCTTGTCTCCTATCGACGAAACTTTTTCTCAATTACGATATTTTCCGTCTTTGGAGTTCGAACAGTAAAGAATGGTCTCTAACTACCGTAACCGTTTCTTTTAATTGTTCAAATAAAATATGCTCGCGAGAGCACAGATGTAATTACCGGCGGCGAAGAAAAATACCGTGCTCCATTACTGAAGGTTTAAGCGAACGTGGCCCGATCGGTTTGCTCGGCGAAAACCAGGGACGAAGGTGAAACGAAAAGAGGATGAAAGAAAGAAGGGCACAGCGAAGCTGTCGAGGAGAGGTATTACTCAGATAACTGGGAACGTGAAACGAATGAACGAAGGGAACGAGCAGAAACGAGGGGTTGTAAAGGGGTGAGAAGATGCCCTGTACGAATCAAGGACGGAAAGAACAGCTTTTGAAATTTTACAGTCCTTGAATTTCCTTGTATTATGCTAGGTTCGATTTCCCATACTTACACCACGATAAATATTGATACGTGGAATCATTGGGAACAGTGAACGTATACGACAAAATTGCTTTCATCAACAATTTACCGATTGAATTAATTCGACAACTGAGAATGGTTCCTGAAGCGCGGTATCGATTGGCGTGTATCTAGAGGAAATGTACCATTCGTTTCGAAATGGCTAATTGCTCCTTGATACACGTTACGAATATCCTGATCGAGGTCGTTTCGATTTCAATTATTCGTTCCCGAAGCCACATGGTTCGTTAATTGTTACGGTACAGAATCGCGATTGGCAGCTGGACAATCACTGTCACGGTATGTCACTATTCTTATGATTGATTAACCCCTTGCCTGTTCGGTTTGAAATATTTTACCGTGCGGAAAATATCAGGTCTTTTTTTCTGAATTAAAAATCTTGCAATTTTTATTTGAACAACTTATGATTTTTATAGATTCTTTTTTGAGTATCGAATTAATTTATAATGCACCTTCTTAATGCGAGTTACCTGATCGAGATACACGTTGACTGCAGATTTGCGCGAAGAGACGACAGATAGAGCGACGGTCTAAAAAATATGGCGGCGATAACCTCTCGAAGTCTATGCTAAAACATATTATTTTTTAACTATAATAATTGCACCTATGGACAGGAACAATGCTATTTAATAGTTTTTTAAACTAACGCAATATCTATGTATATTACAATGTACAGTAGACTTGAGGTTATGGGATCGATCGATTTTAGCCCGACTATAGTTCAAACAGGACGTGATATACTCTATTTTATAATAGCATGTTGAACACGAATTGTAACAGACCGAATACATTAACGCAACACCAAGTAAATATACGTATCATAGTACAGAACCATGAGCACCTCTTGGACGTGCACTATTATACTGTTTGATGTGTCCTATTACTAGGTGTAGTCTGCCGAGTGCCTTCTCTTGTTTATTTATGTCCCACAGTGAAGTATAATATGCATACTCAACGGTAACATTTAGATTTCCCTACTGGTAGATTTCGCATGATGTAGACGGATGTGTTTAGTATGAGAAAGGAGATCCACGAGCAACGGTTACCATTCCCTTCCGCGCATATTGTCCCGGAGTTATCAGAGCGACCCCAAATTAAGCCCAGGCATACAAGGTGTCCAAGAATCCCAGTTTATGGTATTAGAGGCAATAAAATAATTTTTGAAGCGTTAGGACCTTTTTGACCCTACTTTGCGCGGCGATGCTTCCTAAGCCGCTCGGAACGTTAACGATTAGACGCGGCTACCCTCGGTTACCCGTAACGCGTCGCTCTAAGCGTTTCTCATCGTTAAAACTAATCGCCGGAGCAACTGGGACAATTTCGAGACGGGTTCCTTGACGAAGTACGTATCGACGCGACGAAAGGGGGGCCACTTTTTTATGATACTCCGAGCGAGACTAGTTAAGCTAAATAATGAATGAAGATTGGCTGGGCCTGTCTGACGGGGGTTGGGAGCGGTCTCTGAGTCGCTTTGATGTCTGGCGGCAGCCACCGATTATGGAATCAATTATTGCACGGCACTCTCTTTCGTTCTGCGTCTCTTTTTCGCCCGACCTCGCCTTTCGATCGCGCTCCCATCGAAACCAGTGCCCCACCCCCCTCCCCGGCAACCCCCGAGTCTTCATCGCGCCAGCGCGAAGGGGAAGATTTATTCCGTATAGGAAGAAATTGCTCGGTCGGACAGTCACGGAGAACCGATTCCGCGAAAGGTCAGACGAGTCCAGGTTAAGGTCCACCCGCTTGTATAAGGATGCCGCTATTATCGTCGTGTAATCTACGCCAATTACCCACGGACGAGTATCGCGGAAATAGGACCCTAACTGTCAGTACGTGCTTATTTCCCCCCCTTTGCGGTCCATCGGACGGGATTCAACTTAACGACAAACCATGTGATTTCGATAAAAATGCCTATACGTACGCGCGGCCAACGGAATGATTACGTTGCTTCCAAGCACCAGGTAATAGTGGGAGGGGTTGGTTGGGGGGCCGGAATACCATCGAACGCAATGATAATCCGATACTCGAAAATCATGAACTTTATTGTTTCCAATCAACGGTCTTGTGGTAGTAAAAAAGAAAAAGAATTACGGTACTAACGGTAACGAGCGCGAGAATCGAGGTAATAATACTGCTGCGAGTCGATCGTCCTCCATTAACACTGGCTCTTGTTCTTTTTGCTCTCCTTGATGGAGATCACGTAACGCTGAGCGACGTTCAGAGGCGGGGAGTAACCGTCCGCGTAGGTCGCGTCCTCGAACAGGACCTCGTACTCCTCGGTGGCGGTGGTGGGCAGCTGATTCACCACCGCCTTGTAGAAGCAGGTCGTTTGCGGGTACAGCGCCATCACGATGGATCCTTTCGAGAACAGAGCGTGTGGATCGGTCTCGGGGTTCGCCCTCATGAGCGGAAGCGGCACCACTCGCCGTCGCGACAGGGTGTGCCTGTCCTTTTGCTCCTCGTCGATGTCGTCCACCTCGTATTTATTCGTGGTGGGATTGAACTGGACCACCTCCGCGAGAATCCAGTTTTCCTCCTCCTCTGAACCCTTCACCAGCGCCGCCACCATGTCACCCATCTTCGCGATGTACGTGGGCTCGGCAGCGATCGCCCCGCACAAAGGCGGCGGCTTCGCCCCCGGTGTTTTGCCCACGTACAGAGGAAGGGTTTGCGCGGTGCTTAGCAGCATCTTCATCAGAGCGCCGCGTCTGATGGTCTCCTTGTTGCCCGCATTCCGTGCCTGTATCCGTCGTTCGTTTCTAATCGCTCGGATCTCGTTGATCTTTACGAGCGCCTTGCGCAGGATCTCTTCCTCCTGCTGAGCATCGCCCACCGCCGCGCTGTAAAGGTTCTTCAGCTTCTGCTGATAGTAGGGGGACACCTTGTCCTCGGGGGTCACCTTCTCGTAAGTCTTTATAATGTTGTTCAGATTGTGCTCCGATCGAACACGTTGCGTCTCCACCTCGTGCACCAGGTGGTACAGGTTCTTCAACCGTTCTTGAATCTGGCTAGCCGCTGCATCCGCCGTGAACGGCATCTTGCTTGTAACTTCCGAGCGACGCCAATCAGCTTGAAAGGCGTGCAATGCGGTCCCTGTGTATCTCTCGTCTGCGTTCCGCTGTGCGAGGTATTCTACGAATAAAAATACGCGGAGCGCGTTACATTCTTCCTATTTTTGCGATGCTGGATCTAGAACGTCCTACGGAGGCCGGATTTCAACGAATCTTTTTGGTCTCCGTTTCACACACAACCATCAAATCTTAAATTACGAATCTTCTGTCTCTTATTACTTGTTATAATTTGTAAATGATATCGTGTCTTCTCAAAAGGATTTGAATTTTATAGTACTCTTGTATATATTAGTTTATACATATTTCTTTTAAATAAGATACTAAGGTATTTTGGCGCCCAGATAACAATGCAATATGGCGCCATTCGTTCATTTCCTTTGCGTTAGATATACATATATGTGGATATTTTAACCCCTAAGTTAACCCCTAAGTGGCTTTAAAGCATTTAAAAAATAATGAACTAAATTTTCAAATAATTACATTGACATATATTATTAATTTAAACTTACAGCGGTTCTAATAATCTACTTAAGGGTTAAGTAAAATCCAAAGTGGATGCATTTTTTATTTCATCCAGCTTTCCTCAGGTTTGGAGTTACGAGAAGCGAACAGACTCTTTAATACTTATTATTAAAACCAAATATACGTAGAACTATTTCACAAATAGTAGATAAAGTGTCAAGAACCGAATAAAAATTATAATTCGTTAAAGCAATACAAGGTGTGTAGAAACTCGTGTATCTGTTTATAATTATCCAAATAATTCTGAATACGCGCAGTAATATTTATAGAACTGCAGAACTATGTCTAAACAACGAAAAAAAAACTTTCGAAAGTTTCCGCCCGCCGCGAGTTTCGAACTCGAGTCCCCCAGCACCGTGAACCGACACACTGGATGTTATGCTACGAAGTAACATCGTTTCAAACTTTTAATATCATAACTTAAAATGCTTCGTAAAGTTCATAACTAACTATTACACCTCTTTGAATTATTATTCACGCGTGCCGTCACAAGATATATACATAACAATGAACGTCAACAAAAACAAACGGTCTGCTTCGAGTAAAGGCGGCGGAAAACCGGTTACACAAACATTCAGCGAATCGATAAAGGCGTGTTGGTCAATGGCCGTGTCCTGAATCTATCAAAATCGTGACGTACCTCATGCTGTACAAGGAAAATCGGCGTCCAATTCGTCGACAGTTACAGCGCAATGCTTGCCTTCCTAACGCGAAGCTGCAGGTTGCACTAAACCATCCCAACGTCGTGCAATCGACTGTGCACCCGATTCTGCGCCATACTGCTTCTCCCACCATTCGTCGCGCAGTATATAACGTACGAGCTTGTGTCAAGGCGGTGCTGCCACCTGACGGGATATGCTCAAACTAATCTAACCAGAACGCGTTTGACCATCGCGACGTGTACGTCGTTATCGTTATAATTCGCACTAATAATCAATGAAACACGAACTACGAAATTCACGTATGACTAAGGATATTAAGGGAATGGAAAAGTTTATTTTATTAACACATGACATTCGTTTTTACGTTACTTTTCAAAGATTGATCGCCTCGAGCAAATTAATTTAAAATTTGGAATTTGACCCTTTAAAAGGTGCCACAAATAAATTCCCTAACGATTTTCCTAGCAGTGCTGATATGACGATTCATTTCTGACGTTTAATCGATCGAACAGTGAAATATATTTCATTCTATAACTCAGATTTTAATTTTTATTTTCCGAGTAACGCAATGGAAAGTTTTCATTTGGTGTTAAAATTTGTATCTACATAAGAATTATGCCTATTTCTGATTGAAAAACTGTATATTTGTTCATATGTCGTCTTAGCAATCTGTGTGCAGCTGACATAACTCTAATTTTGTCAACAGAAGCGTTGCGTGAGAAATGCTGGTCCGACAATGAGAGCTGAGCTATGGATTATTGATCTTAAGCTTAAAAATTCGGTCTAGATCTCCTCGTGATGAACGAAACAGTGACTGGCGATCGGCGAACGGAACGATCTCAATAATCCATCGGTTGAGCGGAGACGGCGATAGCCAGCGCGAAGAATAATCAATTCGTTGGTAAATTACACGGCACGGACACCCGTGGCTACGGCGACTCGTATAAATCACCGAGCGCGGAAAAGCTCTCTATCGTTCTTGTTAGAGGTGCCGGATGATGTACCGCCTCACCTAGCGTCCGATCGTGCATCAGAGGTGCCGTGCATCATCGGTTAACAGCCAACCGCGGCAAACGGCACCGATCGCGACGCGAAAAGCCGTAACGCGACCCCGGCTAGCATTCGAGAGAGAATCCCATGGACGCGGCAAACCGTCGCGTTCCAACGTGCACGCACCATAAACGTACATAAGCGCAAAGAAGCCGGGTTTATACGAACTCCGTGACCTATTCGCAATGAGATGCGTGTCACGCGTGCCACCGGCGAGTACGTGGCCCTTGCACACGCGCGAGACTGAAATCGCAGCCGATTCAACCTGTTCCCAAGCGAGTCGCGAACAATGCGCGACTACGGAGTCTTCGAAGACCGTAGATCGCGCGAGCAGAGGCCGTGGTATTTTATTTTTAAGGCGAGTCGCCTTAACGCGTCCCCAAGTAGCGTCACAAATGATCTAAACGTATGATTTCTAATAAAACATCTTGAAGTTAGTAATTTATGTGCTGCAATGTTACGGAGATATAATTTTAAATATCCGTTTCACTTGTTTTATTCGGAAGGATTTGTTGTCAAGTGGGGGAAAAGCATGATCAGCTGACATATTTAGGATGTGGTACGTGAAGATAATGAAACAATGATGACGAATATATTACGTAATGGCGCGAGGAATTATTATTTACGACTTATTAATACATTTCGAAAATTAAACGTGAAATTGACTGTCTGAATTATCACCAATATTTTTCCAAGTATTAGGATGTGCCAGAAAATATTGCTTACTTCAAAACCTTCATTCCTTAAGTAATAATTACAACAGATTGGAATTTCAAACACGATGATCTATGGTCTTCTGACACCGTTGTGAAAGCTGCTGCATTCCTCTGCAATAGCATGCTGGTACTTTTGATGCAAACAAATCACGTGCTTTCATGTTTCGTTTCGTCATCATTGTTTAATTACCAATCTTTGGAAACGTGTGCCATTACTCGGTAAAAGGGATAGAAATTTTGGGTCATAGTATACATGAATTGTAATTTGAATTATTGTAGTGGGTTGTTGTTATAGGAAAAAGTAGACTCGTAATAAAACAACCCTAACAGGATTTGCTTTAGACACCAGGACAATTCATAATCTGTCGAGGAGTGCATGTACATATAGGAACATCGAGTAATTGTCGAAAGGAACAGTTTGAACGCATCCCTCAATCCCAATTGAACGTAATTGGCGGGTAGTCCGTGTCGAAGTAAAGTAATTCGAGTGGTTAGAACAAGATTAGATGTTAAAAATGGTAAAAATGATGGGTAAGAGTCTTGAAAGAAGTTAAAGTAAGCGTTGGGAAAATCGTGGAAAGTGGAGTGAAAGTGAGAAATCGCGAAACCGAGGAAAAGGAGAAAGAGTGGTTGACGAAGACCAGCGAGATTTCACGATGTCCACAGCATCACCTGATTTAAGATTAATAAAGGTACACATGTCTATGCATTGTACATGTAATTTACCTATTTCGAAAATATTCTTAAGAGTTAATAACTGTGCGTCCAATTGGAGGTTGGCATTCCGACGAGCATGAATACAAATGACTCTTGGCACTTTCAGAAAATTTCATTTTCAATAATTAGTAACGACATCATTGCATAACAATTTATTTATGCCAGCATCCTAAAAAGGATAAGTGCTTTGTCAAAATGTTTCAAAACTAAAAAGAAAATGACATATCTCTTTGTAGTAGATTAAAATTAATTACACATAATCGTTCCATAAGAATTAGAAATTTACATTCTCCATCGCAGTTAAGAACTCCATATAGGAGGATTTTTAATCTCCAAATTAATACAGAAATAATATTAAATCGTTTAACTGTGCTATCAGAATATAATAAATTGTTGGAAATTCTCTATATTTCCTCGGTGTTTCAAATTTTCATATCTGCTGTTTCCAATTTCGTTAGGAGCAAGCACCGACGCTTAATTAATTTTAATTTGTCGGTCGAGCCGCTTTCACTCGCGGAATTGACGTTACGATTGCGTTTCGTCGTGTGCCCTCCGCAATTATTCGTCTCGTTTCTCAAAGATGGCAGTCATCGACGGTCGAAATTCAGAGAGGCTCGTCGGACGTAGGTCCATTTGCACGGTTGTTGCGGTCGTAGCCCGTAGCATTAACGTTACAATGTTTATTGCAACACCGTGCGCGTTATGCAAGACAGGCACACCGTCTGAAATCAGCAGGATATACCGGGAGGGCTCGTCTAATCTCCCTGAGCTCGTCGTATATATCTCCTCAGCACGTGCAATTAGCGTACATTCGTATACACGTGTATTATCAACGACCATCGTCCCTGTCATTTCGTTTCTAAGCATTGATTTATTACTGCGCGGTGGCAGGATAATTATTGACTACCATACCGGCGCGCGTACTTTTCGTTGCAAAATCGTTGATAACAACGCTACAACCGGCTGGTTTGCATATAATACTGAGAAATTCATTTGTCTCATAATATGATTCATAGTTGCCCTCTTGTAATGCCATTGAATCGCAGTGTACATGATAATTAGACATCAATGGGCCGCGTTCGGTCGATTAACAATTCAAATCAGCAGACGTACTTACGACTTACTTTGCATCAATTAGGCATAAAATATTGTTCCAACGGCCGGACCACCGGCCATACCGGGCAACATTTCAATGAATACGTTACCCCTGCCAAATAATTAGTGGTTCCTTCCTTAATTACCACCTCGCTGATTCCGTAGAATGATACGTTTTACTAACCCATTAGGTACCCCATTCAGAGAACGTTTCTACACAGAAATTAAAAATTTAAATATTACTCAGTTATTAGGGTGTGATCGAGGTTTCTACAAGGGTCAGGTATATTCCCAGATGTTAAGTTTCGAGAACATCGACGATTGTCGCGCGATAAAAGGAGCGTGCATAGTCATTCGGTCGGGAGGGCTTCATCGAAATTCTCGCGGCTCGGTTCTTCGTCAAGTAGTCGCAGGACGTCGGCATGAAAATCAAATCCTTTTCGCGCGACAGCCGGGCGGGGCCCAGAATGGGCCATTAAAACGTATTATGGAAGGCGACGAGCTTAGCAGCCACAATCCCGCGATATTACGTATACTCGTACGCGCGTTTTCGAGGTGCGAAACAAGGCGTCTAACGAGGCGTAAGGAGATGTCGGGCCCCAGGGTAGAAGCTCGCACAATGCTATTCACTTTGCCAGTCCGTCTGCTCCGTGATATTCATCTGGAGCACGCGTATCGAGCAACGGACAGGGATTTCTGGATCGTCGCGGAACGAAAGCGCGCTCGTACATTTTCAAACTTCCGCCTTTGCGATCCCATACAAAATTTCAACGTATATTACGCCGCAGATTTCGGCCACTTATTCGAACGCAACCGTCCCGTGGGTAATTTGATATATTTTTTTAATTTAGCTACAAATTGCTTTCCATCGACCCCGAACCTTTGTTATTCAACGTTCTCGATTGTCCAAACGATATTTTGCCTCTTCGAAGTTAAACGGAGCAATCAGTGTTTAAAACGAAATGAAGATCAAACGTGAAGAATATAAAAAATTTGTTACGACAAAAATGTAGAAGGAGGAATAAGAAAGCAATTAGCGTGAGTTACGCGTTACATATGGTATCGCTACGATAAAAGTATATAGTCGTAGTAAAGAAAGGCGGCGCGGAGGATCCACGGAACAATTTCCACTCGATCTTGAAGCAAAAGTTTATCTGGTCATAAAATGCTCATACTGTGCGCTCATAGTTACGGTGCACAATAAAACGACGAGGGGAGGAGAACAAAACTGTTAGATGGCAAGGTGCGCGCAAAATATTTATCATCACGCCGTTGACGTTTATGCCCCGAATACACGGGAAACGAAGAATCGGTCGGGGAAGGGGATCGCACATAAATCGACGACGCGCGTCGAACAATCGATACGAACGATACTCGGGGAACGTCGGGAACGGGGGACTCGATTTTCATCTAATATCGCCGCTTTGCAGCGCACGACTTAACGACCTGTTGCAGCCCGTTAATCCGGGCTACGATGCCGGATGCCGGGCCAGCATAAACGATATTTCAAACAAATCCTCCGGTAAGGCGCAG